CGTGCAGAGGTTCACTTATAACGTCATAGGTCAGTGACCTGACCTGACTCGAAAATGCCGTTGGTGTCAAAAGATCTGGCTTGAATCAAAGGCTAGGTATGCCAAGTTTCAGCTTTCCATCGCCAGTGTGTTAGGAGCTATCGCGGAAAAAAACCCTAGGGGGGGGGCGGCACCCGCCGTCCCCCCCTCGGCCGGCGAGGGTCAATTGAGTACCTTATTGCTTCGTTTGCGTATGTGCATGTAGAACATGTACCTCTTGAATGATACACCATAAACTGGGTTTGAAGTTCAGTTATTTTTGGGTAGGTATATAATTTATGCTAGCGGCCGCAAAACGCCAACAGTAGGTGCGATGAAAGAGACACCTCAGTGAGCTGGTCATAAGGTCGCCTGAGACAGTGTCCCTTACGATCCGAGATATAGCTACCTGCAAGTTGAGAAGATGCTTCTTCCTGCAAGTTTCCTTTCTCTGCAAAAGATAACTTCGCACTGACGGCCTTCGGATTTTTTTTTTTTTACCAAGTAGGGGCTTCCTTACAACGTGACCGTCATTAGAAAGGTAAATACACAGATAACAGTAGTACTACTGTTCTACTGTACTACTGTTATCTGTGGTAAATAGTATTCACTTAAAGCAGTGCTAAATGACAGACATACTGATAGATAAATGACCGACATCAGATATCGCGCTACAAACAATCACTGTAGAATTCACAAAACGCACTGACACCTGGCTCCGAAGACATCCATATACCTACCATTTTACATGCTAAAATGCTTTACAATCCAGAAGTGGCTATATTGCGATGCATTGTTGCTAATTGGGGCAAATAGATGAGGAAAATGTTTAAAACATTCCTTTTGCAGTGGGGCTATATATTGCGCTAGGCAACCTTGCTTGCAAACGCTTAAGTATTGTTTGTTTTTGAAACGGTTCTTCGTCTAAACCTATTATCCGAGGGCCACGTTACTGACACTCATACGAAAACGGAACATTAAATGCATTTTCTATGCAAACGAAACTCATAATCAGGTGACAACCAAAGTATAGCGTCTTACCATACCCGTAATATAAAACACCCCGTTTCGAAATGTCTTGGAAAAGCTCATTCACGCTCGAATGCAGCATACCAGTGCTTTATGCATTATTTTGTTTAATGGTTGAAAGATAAGGTCTTTAAAATAGTATATGGCATAGTGCGTTATATAGGCTGTGAGTTTTGCACCGATGAACTTGTGACCATGGTTTGTACCTATGCATGTATGCATAACACTCCAATGTATGTACAGTCTGATTTTCTTTTTGCTCTATCTTAACCCGCGCCCTGCTGGGGGGGGGGGTGTTTGAACACCCCCCCTTGTGGTTTTTCGCGAATATCTCAAAAACGGCGGCGCGGAGCGCCGCCGTTTTTGGTACACCTTTTCATACATCAATTCTACACATGTTGTGAAAATTTCAGACCAAGGTCATTCAAGGTCAGGTCACCAGGTCACTTGAAGTGACCTCACCTCATAAAAACTTTCAATGTCTGTCATAGCTACACCGAGTGACCGATTGCTTTGAAACTTTCAGCGATTGCTAAGGGCAATAGCATGTACAAAATGTATATCTCAGAATTTTGATATCGATGACCTAAGGTCAGGTCAATTTTGCGACCTCGCCATTATAAGTCAATGGGAGAAAATTGAAATGCGCCTATTTTGGATGCAAGACATTATAAACACTCCCAAACACCGAATTACAAGTGGTTTAGACACACTGAACATGAAAATGGTGTCCGTGACCCTTGTTTATGCCCTGAGGTCATCTTAGGTCACGAATGGTATCTAACAGTTTTTCGCAAATAACTTTTGATAGAGGCATGCTAGAGCGATGAAAACGCCTCAGATGTGTTCAGCTCGACGATACGGATCGACTGATATGCAACATGACCCTTTCCGGTCAGGTCATGACCTTGACCTGAGGTCAAATTTTCAAGTTGACCTTTCAAGGTCAAGTTATAGTTCATTCGATGCGTCTTGACGAGAGGAACACGATGCCGGTAAAAGTAAGCTCGTACAATGCTTGGGTCAAAAGTTATTGCAGAAAAACCGTTTTCGAAAAAATCGGCTATTTTTGCAGTTTTTGCCCCCTGCAGGCAAAACCGTTGACGTTAGGTCAAATCTGAGAGAATTACTCAGAAAGGGCGTTAATAGGGCTATCGAATGCGCTTTTCCGCGGCGCTCTAGCTCTATTGGTTCCCGAGTTATGCGTCGGCTTCTTGGAAATTTTCGACATTCGACCTGGAAATCGGCGAAATTTTGCCTTCAATGACCTCTGGTGACCTGACCTTTGACCTGACCAAAAAATTGACCGAAGTGATTTCGTCATTATTTTTGACGCTCTTTCGAACGCCGCCTTCCGCGTATCGCTACGTGGCCAAGGAGCCGAGTTACAAGGGGGGGTGTTCAAACACCCCCCCCCCCCCAGCAGGGCGTGGAAATCCAGGACCCCCAGCCGGGCGCGGGTTAGATCAAAAGTTATAAGCGAAAAACATTTGACCTATTTTAGCGAAATTTTTACATTTATATCCCCCCAAAAACTCCCTAAATATTGACCTAGAGCAACCAAATTTGCACAGGGGTGAGAACTCCAAGGGGCCCACCTACCTACCAAATTTGGTGTTTCTATGTGCCATAGGAGCCAATCGCGAGGGGGGTCGCATCGACCCCCCCCCCGCCAGGCCGTGTTATGAAAAATGCCCTGCCAGGGCGAGGGTTAAAAGTACCGCGCAAAGTGACGGTGGATCCATCAACCCTGACCGAGGAAGGGCCTGCTATAATTTGAAAGTCACCGAACCAATTGACCTGGGGAATGGACGAGGATATCCATTGTTTCGGTGACTAGCAGTCCTTCCTCGGTCAGGCTTGATGAATCCACTGTTACTTTGCGCGGTACTTTTAAGACATACTGTGCAATGACGTAAGCTTTAAAACCTACCACGTGGAGGCTTGAGATCGTAAATAAACAAATATAGATAAATACCTAATAGTATATGGTCAAATAACTAGTCTAGCGGTGACACACTTCCCCTCGCCAGTATTGGTGTTTTGACAGCCGCAAACGTATAAGGGCGGGGGAAGTCCGTTGGACCCCCCTTGCCGTCTCACCCCTGATCGAGCTAGAGCTTCGCGAAAAAACGAGCGTGTTTCCCGTGACAAGAGGAAGCCGATGATACCCAATTTTAAGGTCCTAGGTCATTGGTTGACCTTCCAAGCCAGGTCAATGGCCCAAAAGTCGGGAAAATCGAGACCAGTTAGGTCGTTAAGTGTGGCTGCTACGGGGTTATTCGGGGTTCTGATCACGAATATCATGTTAGTTTTTATCACAGATGATGTCTTCATGCTTTTAGGCCAGGTCGGGTCAGGTCAGTTCAGGTTAACCAGTAGTGGTTTTGCCGGGCATTCGTAGTAGGTGTCAACCGCCTCTGACAGCTTCGTAACATGTTACGATGGCACCAAAACTACTTCGTAAATGCTCATATGGTTGCTAAATTCGAATTAAGCTAAAAAAAAACTAGCCTAGAAACATGTAAAAGTTAACCGAGCTCATTTAAGGTCAGTGACCTGTCCTGAGCTTCAAGTGAACTTAACACCCACCCTAACGCATAGGAGCAATATCATATCACATGTTCGAACCCTTGAAACCACGAAAAGAGTGCAAACGCGCGGCTAAAGGAGACGACATACGCCGAATCGCGATTCCGGTCAAACATGGTCTCGAAAATTAGGTCACAGGTCAAAGGTCATTTGCGTCAGGGTCATGAAATTGTTAGGGTAGGTGTAAAATTGATGAACGCGAGGGTAATGAAAGTTCCATCGCGATCAGCGGGTTTTTACGCGAGTTATTTGCGAAAACCGAGAGGGGGCTGCTCGACCCCCCCCCCCTAAACCGGCGAGGGCTAAGGGGGAGGGGCGTTTCTCACGGTTCTTCCTACCTAAGATCATTGTTAAGATCTGAAATGAGAAATAATAAAACATGGCTCACAGCAGGGCTGAAGCGTGAAATACGCAAGCATGGCTACTAAAGCTTGATCAGCTCAACGATTAAAAAAAAGCAGTTCAGGCTCTCCGCCGATGATGACAGCCTGGTCGGGTGGTTCGCTCCGCGACAGGGTCCGTCTGCTTTGTGCGGCGTGGCACGGCGCGGCGGGGGGGGGGGGGAAGGCGGCGATGCGTCTGAAAGGCGACGCTCGGACGTCCCGGGAATCACCTGTCACCATGCGGCGCGGCGGTCGGTCCCTCCGACCCTTCCCATTGTTACCTGACTGCGGGTGCCGGTTCCCCCGGAAGGGTCACTTTGGTATGCGAAATCTTCACTCGTTAATCGGACAGGAGGGGAGCAGTAGACATTCGATGGAGTAGGCGATTCGGGCGTAGGTCAGCCGGGCGTAGACATTCGATGGAGTAGGCGATTCGGGCGTAGGTCAGCCGGGCGTAGGTCAGCCGGGCGTAGACATTCGATGGAGTAGGCGATTCGGGCGTAGGTCAGCCGGGCGTAGGTCAGCCGGGCGTAGACATTCGATGGAGTAGGCGATTCGGGCGTAGGTCAGCCGGGCGTAGGTCAGCCGGGCGTAGACATTCGATGGAGTAGGCGATTCGGGCGTAGGTTAGCCGGGCGTAGGTCACCCGGGCGTAGACATTCGATGGAGTAGGCGATTCGGGCGTAGGTCAGCCGGGCGTAGGTCACCCGGGCGTAGACATTCGATGGAGTAGGCGATTCGGGCGTAGGTCAGCCGGGCGTAGGTCACCCGGGCGTAGACATTCGATGGAGTAGGCAATTCGGGCGTAGGCCAGCCGGGCGTAGGCCACCCGGGCGTAGGTCACCCGGGCCTGAGCCCCGCAGATGACCCTCTGCGGCCGTCTGACGGCCCCCCTCCCTTCCGCAGGTGACTGCACCACCCGCTCCCGTCCGCAGGTAAACCTCAGCGGCCGTCTGACGGCCCCGCTCCCGTCCACAGGTGACTGCACCACCCGATGTTTCGTGGACGTGGGCTGTCTGAGTTTGAGCTACGACACGAGCAGCGGCGCCTGCCAGCTGAACGCCGTGCGCGGCCACCCGAGCAACACGGAGTACCGCAGCGGCACACTGCACCGCCTCCGGCCGCAGATGGGTGCGTACAGAGGCCCATGTCACTCCACTTTTGATGACATCATAAGGGGGCCTTAGGACAATAATGGCGCGGTGCGCCACAATCGCTTCCAGGCTATCTGCCAACAGCTGCCATTTTTGAAAATATAATTTTGAAATAAAGCTACAAATAATAAAAATATTGTAATAAAGTTATTAAATAAATCGATACTATATTGAAAAACTTAAAGGGACCCTCCCACCTTAAAAAAAAGTTAATGAATTGGCATGAGAGTGATGTCGCTCGGTTCAGAAAGAGCGAAAACGAACATCTACCAAATTTCACCGAAAAATATTCACCGGTTTTCAAGATATTAGACTTTTACTTTTGTTTACTTTTTTTGGGATCTCCGCTGTTTCTAGCGACTTTATTTTAGAAGTGCGGCGTTTGCGGCAGATGTTGCGCGCAAATAGCATATACCACCGCGTGCTACAAAACGTTTTAGTCAAACATTTAAAAATCGTTAGATATCTGCGCTGACGTCACACATTCAGAGGGGTATTCCTAAGCATTAGCCCCTCTGAATCAAAATGCTGCAATTTTGAAATTCAATATTTCCGATTTAAGGCATTTGTCGATGTTGTGAGTGCCGAAACCGGTAATTGTGAGCCAGGGACCCCATTTTGGCTATCTCAACTCAAATCTAATGTTAAGGTGGGAGGGTCCCTTTAAAGAAAAATGATTTAAACATAGTAAAAATATAAGCTCGATGAGATTTTACGTTGCTTTCCTGCAAGTGCAGAGGGTTTTTAAATCGTCTATATCTTCAAAACTGGCCACTTCTTAGCATATTGCTGCTCTTTTTTATCGCTAGAAAATTAGTTGGGCTTTTTATTGACAGCAACGGTTGAGCGTTAAATGGAAAGTGGCATCAATAATCTACAAATGAAGTTAGTCATTTAAACCTTGTGAAGGAATAGAGTACCCCTTGTGAGCATCAGGGGTGCCGTCACTCAGGATCTGTCTCTGATTGGTCGACGGTGGAGTGACTGTACCTTCTATAGATGGCCTTGGGTGCGTACTCCGCCCGGCAGCTGGGTGCGTGCGGCGTACTCCGGCCGATAGATGGGCGCGTGCTGCTTACTCCGGCAGATAGATCGGTGCGTGCTGCATACTATAGTTGTTTTTTTTTTTTCAAAAGAGCTCTGGCTCCAAGTATGCTTTCCGAATAAGCACGTGTTTAAGCCATCGAAAGAAGCAAAAACTGAGCTTGAGAAAATCGAACGTCGACTTTAACATGTGATTTCTTCCCGATATTTTTCATACGTGAGTTTTGGAGCTAGATTTTAGAACACGGGTGATGTAATACTGTCAAACTTACTTGCTTTGAAATGTAGAGTAGCCTGGGGCAAGACGCCCCAGATAATTTATTTTGCTACATTTGATGTCCCACATGACCTGGAAGGCTAAATTTGTGCTCAATGCGTTCTTTGGACATTTTAGTTTAAATTCCACCCCTCAAATTATTTCACTTATGATCGGACTCCTAGCTAGAAAGTAGTTTGTGAAGCAACGGCAAATGGGGCATTTTGCCCCAACCCCAGGGCAAAACGCCCCACGGTCTGGGGCAAGAATCCCAATACTCCAAATTAAAGATGAAAAACATGTTAGTTGGCTAAATCTTAGAGAGATCCGTTAGACCTCTGGAGGCACGGCACTGAAGTAACCACATTCCATCCTATCAGGTGTTCAGCTATGACGCTATTGTATGAGCAGCTTTTTCACCTGCCTCATAAGGCCAAATAATAAATTATTGCAATGCAAATGTTAAAAAATACTTCCTTTGCCATCCAGTTGCTGAGAAAAATACATATAAATGCATAAAAACTTTGCCACCTACCGAACACTAGGAAAACCCCCGGCCCGGCGAGGGTTAAAGGTATAAAAGCAGGACTGAACTCAGGCTGGGTCAAGTCATGTCTAGCTGAGCACGATCGTCGAGCACGTTGCTTCAGACGCTGCGCGCAGGAATGTCTCCGGCGAAGAGAATCGAACTTCTACAGGGTCCAAGGAGCACGGCATATCGCATACCGAAGAGTGCGCAGCATCAGCAGGGTGATGCCGATCCCAAAGATGACCTCTGAACCTGAAAGGTGTGAATCAGGACCTGGGCACCAGCGCTTATGCAACATCTCCTGGAGCTGATCGCGGAAGACCCGATGAAGTCACGATGGAGCCGGCGGTCTCGGGCTATGGAGACCGTCGTGCTGGGCTGGATCCAGGAAATCACTGGAGGAGCTGGATATATCTTCCAGTATGACTTCTCACCCGTACCCACAACCGAGGATGCAGAAGTGGTGCTGGCAGCCAATGCGCCAGACGGGGACCAGGGTGTTCTAGTCGCCGAACTTCTCAGACCTCAACCCCTTGGACTGCTTTCTCAGCAGCGAAGTTGCGAGGGTACCCAACAAGATCGCTCACTATTCCAGGAATGCTATGAAGGACACACAGGAGAAAATGGACCGAGCTGTCGAGAAGCGCGCGTGCAGCTGGTTCAGCAGCTGGCTGGACAGGATGGTTGCGAATAAGTGAAAGCATTGGAAAACGACGATTTTGTCCACCCATCAACATTATTTTGGATACTTCACTTTGGTTTATCAGTACTCAGCATTTGAATGGAAGAACACAATTTGTCTCAATTTAACAATCCCACCTGCAGTGGTGTCTATTAGGCACCACTCGACGATTTTTTATCGGAGTTGGTGTAACTCCTCTGACAGCGCTCTTGTGCTCCCAGTTGTGTTGGCGGACTGGTGTTCCGGTGACTCTGACAGCGCTCCCCTGTGCTGGTGTTCCGGTGCCTCTGACAGCGCTCCCCTGTGCTGGTGTTCCGGTGCCTCTGACAGCGCTCCCCTGTGCTGGTGTTCCGGTGCCTCTGACAGTGCTCCTCTGTGCTGGTGTTCCGGTGCCTCTGACAGTGCTCCTCTGTGCTGGTGTTCCGGTGCCTCTGACAGCGCTCCTGTGTGCTGCCAGCCGTGCTCGGAGACTGGTGTTCCGGTGCCTCTGACAGTGCTCCTCTGTGCTGCCAGCCGTGCTCGGGGACTGGTGTTCGGCCGACTCGGACTGCTCTCTGCTGACCTCCGGCGCCGGACGCTGTGTGGCCAACACGTGCCAGTGTGCGCCCGGTGAACAGCCCGTCTCGCCCACCCAGTGCGGTGAGTGACGTCAAACGGACACTTGAGCACCTACTGCGACCTCGGGTGAATCGAAAATAAGCTAAGCCAACTTCAAGCTGTCCCTTGTTGGCGCATTCTAAGGCTTAGGCACCGCGAAAAAAGTATTGGGCGTAAAGACGCCTTCCCCTCGACGGCGGCCGGGTAGCATATTGCTGATGGCTGTATCTGAGCTGCGACACTCACGGAACGTGGCTGATATTTTTCTTTTCTTTGCTAGGGCCGGCCACTTTAACAACGACAGAGGTGGCCACTGTCGGTTCCACGGCAACTGGTGGGCCCGACTTGGCGTCAACAGCCGGACCGAGCGGCTCGTCCACCGCGGCCGCAGTCTCCTCCACGGCCTCGACGACACCCACTGCTCCAGTCGCCTCATCCACTACTGAAACCGCGGCCCCGCCGACCACTGCCGTCCCCGGCTCCACCGCTCCTACCACCGCTACAACCACCCCCACGGCAGCTACCTCCACATCTACTGAATCTACCACGTCTACTGCTACATCTACCACCAACGGGCCCAGCACGACACCCACTTATTCCACTGCCTCCACTACTGTTACAACAACAACCGAAACGACCGCCGCCATCTCCACTACGTTGGCCACAACCACCACCACAGCTACCGCGACCACCACCACTGCTACCGCGGCCACCACCACAGCTACCGCGGCCACTACCGCGGCTACTGCGGCCACCACCACAGCTACCGCGGCCACTACCGCGGCTATCACCACAACTGCTGTGGCCACAACTACCCCTACGGCAATGACTTCCACCACAACAACGCCAACAACAACGCCAACAACAACGCCAACAACAACGCCAACAACAACGCCAACAACAACAGTCCCAACGATCGGTAAGTCGCTCCACTAAACCATCAGCTTACTTACTCGACTTGTTTGTTGACGGTCTTACTTCGTGTGCTGTATTAAATAACCGCACGAGTACAGACTTGCAATAAGTAGGTCACGCCTAAGTCACGCCGATTTTCCAACTAATTACAAGCAGTTTTCAGCCAATTAAATATTTGGCAATTTCTCCTTTCTACTAAAAAAGTTAATTATTCAGTAACATATTACATATGCATTAGGTACTCATGCGATTTTTATTTTCCAATATGAGTCTTAGGAAAATGGGCCGCCTGGCGCAATTGGTCTGTTGTACAGTCTGTCTTAAAAGTACCGCGCAAAGTGACGGCGGATCCATGAAGCCTGACCGAGGAAGGGCCTGCTAAATTCATGAGTCACCGTAGCAATTGACATCCTCGTCCATTTCCAAGTCAATTGGTTCGGTGACCTTCAAATTATAGCAGGCCCTACCTCAGTCAGGCTTGATGGATCCACCGTCACTTTGCGCGGTACTTTTAAAACAGACTGTACACCTACATATGTACTTATCGGTGATTATCACAGCTCCAAACAGGCTCTACATAATCGGCTTGGCTCGTATACACATCAATGTTGATACTTTAATGCTTCGCTTGATTTTCTCACTACTGAACCGTACCCATGATCAATGATTATGTCTCTAGATATTGATTATGGTTAACTGATCGGTCATTCCGCGGGACTCAGCTGTGAAACACCAGTGGATAACTCCGTGGGCGCTAGCCGCCCGCTCAGGCGCCGGTGCCTGCGTGCCGCGGGCCGCGGAGCGGCCTGAGCCGTATTTGACCCGTCCGTGACCCGTCCGTCACCAGGCGAGCCGGTCACCACTGGGATGGAGCCGCTGGGCACGCCTATCCTGGTGGAGGGCTCCACGGCCGGCCAGGACCTGAACGCCTGGGTGTGCGGCAGCCATACGTCCGGTACCAGCGCCCTCATCGGTGCCACAGCCGGCGGCGGCCAGGGCAACGTGAGCGCGCCGCCGCCGGCGACTGATGCTGTCCGCAGGGCCGGGGAGGGGCGCCGACACTCTGTGGTCCTCAGGGCCGGGGAGGGGCGCCGACACTGGTCCACAGGGCCGGGGAGGGGCGCCGACACTCTGTGGTCCTCAGGGCCGGGGAGGGGCGCCGACACTGGTCCGCAGGGCCGGGGAGGGGCGCCGACACTCTGTGGTCCGCAGGGCCGGGGAGGGCGCCGACACTCTGTGGTCCTCAGGGCCGGGGAGGGGCGCTGACACTGTGGTCCACAGGGCCGGGGAGGGGCACCGACACTCTGTGGTCCTCAGGGCCGGGGAGGGCGCCGACACTCTGTGGTCCTCAGGGCCGGGGAGGGCGCCGACACTCTGTGGTCCTCAGGGCCGGGGAGGGGCGCCAACACTGTGGTCCGCAGGGCCGGGGAGGGGCGCCGACACTGGTCCACAGGGCCGGGGATGGGCGCCGACACTGTAGTCCGCAGGACCGGGGAGGGGCGCCGACACTGGTCCACAGGGCCGGGGAGGGGCGCTGACACTGTAGTCCTCAGGGCCGGGGATGGGCGCCGACACTGTAGTCCTCAGGGCCGGGGAGGGGCGCCGACACTGTAGTCCTCAGGGCCGGGGATGGGCGCCGACACTGTAGTCCTCAGGGCCGGGGAGGGGCGCCGACACTGTAGTCCTCAGGGCCGGGGATGGGCGCCGACACTGGTCCGCAGGGCCGGGCGGGGGATGGGCGCCGACACTGGTCCGCAGGGCCGGGGAGGGGCGCCGACACTCTGTGGTCCTCAGGGCCGGGAAGGGGCGCCGACACTGTAGTCCTCAGGGCCGGGAAGGGGCGCCGACACTGTAGTCCTCAGGGCCGGGGAGGGGCGCCGACACTGTAGTCCTCAGGGCCGGGGAGGGGCGCCGACACTGTGGTCCTCAGGATCGGGGAGGGGCGCCGACACTCTGTGGTCCTCAGGGCCGGGGAGGGCGCCGACACTCTGTGGTCCTCAGGGCCGGGAAGGGGCGCCGACACTGTAGTCCTCAGGGCCGGGGAGGGGCGCCGACACTGTAGTCCTCAGGGCCGGGGAGGGGCGCCGACACACTGTAGTCCTCAGGGCCGGGGAGGGGCGCCGACACTGTAGTCCTCAGGGCCGGGGAGGGGCGCCGACACTGGTCCACAGGGCCGGGGAGGGTGCTGATGCTGTGGACCCCAGGGACTGGGGAAGGGGAAGGTGTCTCCGTGTGGTTCACGTGGTACATAGTACATAGTTTGTCAAAGATGATGATGGATTATCATCCGGTTATTTTTTTTTCTTTCAGCAACTGAATGCGATGCAGTGCGCTGATTTTTCAACGCTTCCTGGGTTTACAATGGATCACAGTAATCCGTATCATCTGATTTTATCAGAGGTAAGTATATTTCTTATTTTCGTCTCTCTTCCTTCCAGAGTAGGCGGGCTTCTTTAGTTGTACCAGTTGTACTGGAGTGCGTTAACCCTCGCCGGACCTATTGGTTTTCTACATACGCGCCGGCCGGGGGGGGGAGGGCGGGTACGACCCCCCTCGCCGTTTCGCCCCTGGTGTAGCTAGCGCGTCGCGGAAAAAACGAGCGTGTGCGCCGTTACGAGACGCAGAGATTGGTAACCGATTTTAAGGTCCTAGGTCAACCAGTGACCTCTGAGGTCAGGTCAAGTGCCCCAAGGTACGGTCCAGTTTTTGGTGAATAACTTCGCAAAAAACGGCCGCAGAGCCGCGATTTTGGCAGCATCGTGTTCGCCTTTGCTCAGGCGCGTCGAATGATATACTTTTTGTTCGGTTCAGGTCAACTTGGGGTGTTGACCTCAGGTCAAGGTCAGGTCAGCACCCCGAGGTCACGATGTTGGTCGAAAGAGGTCATGTCGCATATCATTCGATTCGGCAGGTCTTCCTGAGTCCATAAGTGGCTTCCGCGACTCGCTAGCTCAATTTGATCAGGGGTTATTGACAAAAAACTAATATGACCTTGATGACGTCATAAATGGCGTCACGCAAGGTCAACATTGCAAAAGTGACGCATCTAACCTTGCAAGGAGTGCATCAAATCACGATTATGTGTGCTTGAGATAGTTGGAGATCGTTCCCGGCGTCAGAATAGCAGTTTTCATTTTCCCCATTGACTTATAATGGTGAGGTCACGAAAATGACCTGACCTCATATGACCTTTAGGAAAAATCCGAGATATACAAGTTGTGAGACTCATAATGGATACTAGATCCTGCAAGTTTCATTTCCCTGTGACATCTCCTCTGGCAGTGAGGGCGTTGCAAATTTGCGACATCTGAAGACCGTGCAGAGGTTCACTTATGACGTCATAGGTCAGTGACCTGACCTGACCCAAAAATGCGGTTGAAGTGAAAAGATCCGGCTTGAATCAAAGGTCAGGGCCAAGTTTCAGCTCTCTATTGCCAGCGTGTTCGGAGCTATCGCGAAAAAACCCTATGGGGGGCGGCACCCGCCCCCCCTCGGCCGGCGAGGGTTAACCGTCGGCCGGCGAGGGTTAACCCTCGCCGGGCCAGGGGGTGATGCAACCCCTCCCCTTTAAGTTTTTTTTTCGCGAATAGCTTAAAAATTGCGGCGCGTAGCGTCGCCAAATTTAGCATACGGTCTGGGGCAACTTTTTGACACTTTCCCTGAAAATTTCAGGTCTCTGTCATTTCAGGTCAGGTCACCTGCTCACTAAAACCGGTACAATGTCAGGGTAAAATTGGATTATATCAGCGGCAAAAGAATCGCTGAGCTTATCGTTATAGCGTAGGAACCCGAGAACCGTAAGACATATAGCCACCATATTGCGCAGACACAACTTGGGGCAGCCATTTGACACATGTCCTAGGAGTTTTGTGCTTCAGTGACCTCTGGCTAGGTCACAAGGTCACCAAACCCGGTATGTAGTCAAAATGGCACTGGAAATATGCTATTTTGTCCACGAAATGTAGAGTTGTTGATCCATTTGATTCAAACTGTCAGGATATGCTAAACTCACCGAATTGTATAACATATATCCAGGTATTTCAAGTTCGGGTGGCCTGAGGTCATCTGAAAGTCGCGACAAATTTTATGAAAATTTTTCCGAATAGCTCAAATTGTAAAAGTATGCTCCATTTCAACGTTTTTGTGTTCTTTAGCTCCATTTAAGATGAATTCGGTGTTTGCTTTCTGAAAAATCCTTAGGTCAGGTCATCTGAGGTCAAATGAGGTCAAACTACGTTTTTTGCAAATAACTTCGCACACAATGAGGCAACAGCTTCCAAAATGGTGTCATTGTGTTCCTTGTGATCAGCCGAGTGGAATGCTATGCGATATGATGCCATTTGGTTAATTTAAACTTAGTTAATCAATTTAAGTTCACTTAAAAAATAGGAAAAAATTGTTCACTTTAACTTGTAACGAAGTATACAATTCCATAGAGGTCTTATATACAATTCGATGTGCACTCACGTGCTGAGTTCGCTGGTGCTTTTGTTTGTACGTTATCTTAACTTGATTAAAAGTTATAAGCGAAAATTTTTTGACAGCCTTAAGCAAAATTTTTACACTTATACCCCCAAAACAAGGACGGATCTTGGCGAAAGTTTTTTTTTTTGGGGGGGGGGGGGTTCACAGGTCGGCCGACATGCCGAGTCTGGTGGATGAATACTGACGACCGGGGGGAGGGGTAGGGAGCGAGTATGTCAAATTCAAAAAGATATTTTCTCTTTCTTCATTTCTAAGATGAAGTTTTATCTTTGTAAGTCACTCGGCTCAGTCGCTTTAGTACCTTATACCTACCTATATTTTGAAATGTTCCTTTTTCAGTGAGGAATGCAAGCAAGTACGAGTATTAGTTTGTATCCGTAACACATTTAGCTCTGAGGCAATGGGAGGGTATGGGAGCCGGGAGATGTAACAACACTTTTAAGAGTTTTTTTTTTGGGAGGTTAGGACCCTGTACCCCCAGGTTCGGTCGCTGTACCGATTACCGAGTAGGTACCGATTTTTTCCTACTGCAGATGTTCAAGAAATTAAGTTTTTGGGTGCAGACATGATTACAGGGGTGTCGTTTTCCGAAAATGATTGGTAGGGCCCAAAGGCGGCGGCCGGCCATACATGACGGAGCTTACAAGGTAGGGTACCCCCAAATCTGCCTTTCTCATCGGATATCGGCACTTTATACTTTTTCTTACTGGTCGTTGATAAGGCAAACCAAAATCTAAAAAAACTTCAGATCTCTAGTGTCGGAGGAATGGACGCCACTCTGAAAGAAGCCCACGCCGACTTAAAAAGACGGCTTTGGTGAAAGGGGCCAGGAACGGCTTTGAGGGTCCAAGCCAACTAAAAAAGACGGCTGTGGGGCTAGGAACGGCTTTGAATACCCACGCCAATTGAAGGGTTCGACAACTAACGAGGTCTCGAAACACCACGATAGTTAGAAAGACCTGCCTGCCAAAATAAAAGGATGACAGTACGAGGGGCGTTCAGAAAGTATCAGGTCCGACCATGAAGGAGAAGAGAGATACAGCATCGACTTAAATGTTAGACCAAAAAGTTCATTTATTCAAATAACCACTGTTACGACAAAGGTATTTCGCGCAGCGCTTCGCGAGAGCCCTCAAGGTCTCCATAATCAAGTGGGTTTTGGACCCACCCTGCACGCCCAAGACGGCTGCTTTCGTCTCCCTGCTGTCAGCGAAGTTGCCACTGCTAATTTCCTTTTGTTGGGTTCGGAAGAGGTTGCAATCAGAGGGTGCAAGGTTTGGGGAAAAAAGTGGATGCGACCATAGAGATATTATTATATTGTAAGATCTCTATGGATGCGACAGCAACTCGAAGCCACAGCTCACCGCTTCATTGATCGTCACCCCCCGCATGTACGCAGGTGCGTGGTCGTGGATCAGGTGCACACTTAATCAGCTTCCCCATAGCCTCTCCTCGATGTCTATCGAATGGACGCACATCATTAATTGTGCGCCCCTGTGAAAGTTGACGAGCAGAGCCCCGTCAGCATCCCAAAATGTACCTAACCACTATCAAGACCCTAAATACCAGGTAGTCCAGGTAGGGTCGGCCGGCGATTCTACCTGATCGTGACTGATCGTGACTGCGGCGCACTTCCGAAGGGCACGAGGGCGTACGGACACCGGCTCTGCTAAGGGAGGTCACGTGGCAATATACGTCCGAAAGGGGCTCAACTTCTCGAAGTTGGAGACCGCCCCCCTCGCACCGGCCGACAACACAACGGAGTGGTGTGCCATACGCCTATTCACGAGCAACCCAGCGGCTCGCGACCCTGCGCCAAACCACCTGGACATCCACAATTTCTACCGGCCGCCGATCCGACCAGGCGAGGAGGACCAGAGGACCGACCACTTCGACCCGGCGGCCCTACCCACCAATCGAGACACCCTGCTTATGGGAGATTGGAACGCCCACCACCCAGACTGGGACCAACACTGCGGAGAAGAAGATGACACGGGACGCCGCCTCTCGGACTGGATGGCCCTCCAGAACTTCACTACCCTCAACAACGGAGCGCACACCCGCACCAGCTACCGGGGCAATCCTAGCACCCCGGACGCAGTCCTGTGCCATAGGGACACGGCTGGACGCTGCGCCTGGTCCGTCGGCCCCGACCTGGGCAGTGACCATCTGCCAATGATCACTACCGTGCTCATGAGCGGCCACAGACCAAGGAGGATCAGAAGGACAAGATGGGCCTTCCATAAGGCCGATTGGACCGGCTTTGAGGCAGACTGCGAGTCAGCTCTCGCAACACTCCCGGATGATCTGACGGTGGAACAGCTCAACGAACGCTTCACAGCGGTCATCCTGAAGTGCAGCCTCAACCACATCCCCCGTGGAGCAAGATCCGATCCCAAACCATGGGCCATGGATCCGGAACTGGTGGACGCGGTGCGAGAGCGCCGTGCTGCCAGAGCCGCCCTGGACGCAGACCCTGGCTCCGCAGCTCTCAGAGACCAGTGGGTGTCAGCCAAACGCAAGGCGGCAAACACAGCACAAGAGGCCAAGTCCAGAGCGTTTCAGAAGTTCGCCTCGGAAGAGCTCAACCGCCCAGCCAGCATTGGAAGGGTTCACAAGATCCTACGAAAAATGGAAGAGGCTGTTGAGATCCCGCCTGGTCAGGCTCTCGGGGATCACGGCCGCTGCGCCGTGGAGGACCGAGACAAGGCCGAGGCGTTCAACAGGACCTATGCCAACGTGAGCCGTCAAGTACGAGCCAAACGCCAGGACACCAAGACCAAGGCGGAACTGAGGACACTCAACGGAAGGGAGTGCCAATGTGGAGGCGCCCGCTCTGGGGTTTGTTCCCCGTTTTCACTCCAGGAGCTGGAAGCGCAACTCCCAAACATGAAGTGCCGGAAGGCCCCGGGCCC